TATACATTGTTGCTGTTGGTATTCAAGGCCTAACAGTGAAAAATTTAAAACCAAACTGAAGTGTGAAGGCCATGGCACAGTGGGTAGTGCACATGCTCATGACACTGAGAGCCATTGTCCTCACATAGATGCAGGTTTGAATGTAGGCTGTCATATTCTGATCTCAATCCTTTTCTCCCTCCCTACACTTTCCTTTCGCCATAATTTTAAAGGCAAATAGCCTGTAAAATAAAATAAAATAGCAATGCTACGGTTTTAAAGGTGCATTTAGACATTTTTGTTTATGTTATGTTGTGCTGGCCAACATCTTTAGACTAGCTGTGCGGAACTATTAAATACTTGCAGTGATAATATAATAGAAATTCATAATTTCATGAGTAAAAGTGGCCAAAAGCAGGTGGGTTACAGATATAAAGTGAGTAGTCTCAATATGTCAGCCCCTACAAGGTGACCCGCATTTCAGAAAAATGTATTTAATGTATTTGTGAAAAGTCTCTTATGTTCACTAAGGCTGCCTTTATTTTATTAAACAAAAAAACTAACAAAAAAATAAAATAACAAAACCCCCCTCCAGCAAAATCATGAAATATACATTTAAAAAAAAAAAAAATCCTGTAATGACAAAGCTTAATGTTCAGCAGTAAATACTCCAGTCGTCAGTCACATGATCCTTCAAATATCACAATATGCTGATTTGGTGCTTTTTGATGAATAGAAAGTTTTTATTTGTAAAAGGCATTTATTTGTAACAAACAGATTTTTACTGCAAGCACTTTCAAAAAAGCAACAACAACAAAACATCGAAATCGGTCCAATATGCCTGAAAAATAGGCTCAGTTTCTTTATTTAAAGAAAACAATGTTTTCTTCCAGCAAATTCTAGCCTTTTTTTCCCCATCAAACAGAAGCAGCATCTCTTCAACCGTTTCTCGTCTACTCTCCATAAATGACCTCTGTCAGCCCCTCCCCCTATAGCTGATTGACAAACTGTAATGAGCCCCCCTCGTCGGGGAGAGGCAGGGGTCGAGGTCACCCCCCGAGAGGCACGTGCCCGTTGCAGACTGAACCCCAAAAAGAGGGGGGGGGGTCTTTTCTTTTTGTCCCATTTGGTGGCTTGTGCACAAAATGGTGTTCGTGAACCCAATAACCTTCGTTTTCAACGACAAATCAAGAGTGTTGCTGAGGGATTATGGAGATCCAAACAGTTTCGGCACATAATTAGCTTGTGTATTGATGTTTTGCTCTTCAAGGTTCAATATACATAGCAAACGTGTCAGTCACAGGTTACACACTGAAGGCAGGTGGAAAACAAGATTTAACGTTTACAGGCCTGGAAGATTGTAGCTCAGCCTTTACATTTGAGCGCCTGCGTCAGCCATCTTGTCTCTACCCCTTGAAGCCTGCATTAACGCATCTCTCTGACGCAGCAGCTACATAAATACTGCAAATCAAGAAAAAAAACATGACACGATAAAAGATGAAAGTGGTAAGACAGAAAAACGAGGACAAAGGAGAGAAACCCGCCCTCTTGCCTTTCACTGTTAGCGGAACGAGGGATGGCGGAACGAAGAAAGTGACTAAGAGATAAAAGCGGAGGGTAAGAATGAGGAGTCACTGCGGAAATGCTGATGGGATGATGGAGAGGGGGAGCGAAAGATGGAGGAGAGAAGGAGCTGGGGATGGGGGAGGAGAGGAGAGGAGAAGAGTGAAGATAAGATGCTGTTATCCTGTAGACATACTGAGAGCCCTGGGGTCCGCTGGGAATGGGGGGGGAGGGGGGGGGGGTCTTTCTTAAACAAGGAAGTAACAAACTGCTGAGGCGATCAAGCGTGTATTTGTGCGTTTCTCTCATGTGTGTGTTCGCACTGCACTTCTCCGTTCTATAGTTTGCCACAGGCGATAGAATTGTTGCACTGGCTTCAGTCATTTCCTGTTCGTCAAATCCATCCAGGAACCCAATTTTCCCGACTCGCCTCACCCCACCCTCAGCTTCCTGTACTATCTTTGTCAGCACAGCCAGAGATGTAGCATGACGGCATGAAATACAGCCTATATTTTTAGAAAATGAGCGTAGGGTTTAAGGAAGCCACCACACATTTTCAATACCATGACCTAAAGACTCTGCCAGAGCAAGTGTTGCTGGGTATAAGATGGGGGTACGAAGAGGAGCGTGCTGGGAGAGTTTGATTGGCTGTAGATGTTGCTATCCCAGCCGTGATTGGATGATTCCAAATCATGCTGCTGAAAGCAGAACCCTTTGAACTGTGAGACAGCAGCTGAATACACAGGTCTTCGTGCACAACGGGAACAATCGTGCATGTATGTATCCTATGAAACCTCACACATTTGCAGTTTCACACTATACGTAGATGTCTATCTGTGATTCAAAGTAATGACGAACACACACACACACACACGAGCACAGATTCATAGTTGATATGATGTGAGCGTTCGGGTACGGACAAATGGAGTGTGCGTTAAGCATGCATGGATGAACAGCCTACAGAGACGTTCCCGATTCTCAACAGCCAATTGCAGTGCAGCGGCCTGCGCCAAAAAACACTATCTGATGCTTCTGTCACGCACATGGGCCATGCTCTTCACCCTGCTTCCCTACCCAAACTCCTGCAGGGTCATGAAACACGGCCTAAAAATGCCAAATGGGACACAGCGACAAGTTCTGCTTTAGAAGATTATCATATTTACAAAGTGCACATTTAAATGTCAATCCAGGTGAGTAAGTTTCATACAAGCAGAAGACATGTTCTCACATGACTGTGAATATGTGTGTTCATTACCGATGGGTCACGATGGTTGACTAGTCTAGCCTATGAAAATGAAATGAAATGAATAATGAATATACATTTTGTAGTCATGTCAAGCTGTAAAGTTTTTATTGGGTAGAAATTGCTATTCATGAGAAAATATTTTATAAAACCTGTAATCACAAATGACTATAAAAGTCATGTATATTCCTTGGTGTACAAGTATAAACCCTTTTGGAATGATAGAATTTAATTGTTTTAATTGTAATTTGGAATTGGAATAAAAGGCAGCAAGTTCTCTTTTTCGGTCTACACTATTTTCTAAAATGCTATGTATCTCTATGTATACAACACCTTAAGACAAAGTGTCAAGTTAAAAACAGTTCAGCTTTAAAAAGAAATGCACCTTGAGACCTCTTCTCAGCGTTTTATTCTGTTGCACTCTGTCTACCTGTTTTCTAACGCAAGAATGGATCTTATGCAAACACCCCCTAAGAAACACATCAGATCGGGTTGGGTAGACATCTTCCTAAGCCAGTCTAATTATACAAGACATCCATAAAGGGATAGTTCATTCAAAAATGAAAAGTCTGTCATCCAAATCGGATCCATATCTGTATGATTTTTTTTTCTTCCACACAATGAAAGTGTGGACAAAGTCAGTAGGATCCAATGTTGTTTGGATGTTATAAATATTCGTATTCAATGTTCTTATAAATATATTATTTTGTGTTCTGCACAAGAAAGCTATACAGGTTTGAAACAATATGAGGGTGAGTAAATGATGAAAGATTTACATTTTTGGTGGACTATCCCTTTAAGACCAGCTAGTCATTTAATTGCTTGGACAACCCACAGACTAATCGATTTTGAAAATATGTATCTGCACATCCCTTGTATTCTCATAGGTAAAGGAAAACAGAGCAAGGTAGATGTTTAATTACATTTGAAGGCCATTTCTGACAACTAACCCTGACTTCTAGGAGTAATTTGCTGCGCTCTACTTTCTGGGGCGTTCTGGCTGACAGGGTGACGGTGTTCCAAGTGACTTTTTAAAGTTCAAACACCTTCAGAACATGATGTGAATTAGAGAGCTGGCACAGAACCGAACACACAGGGTAATCATGTCGGCTCAAGCTGATGATTTGACATAGGAAACATTCTTAGTAGAAAACCACTCCATGGTCCTTAAAACCACACCCTGACTTTTAGGGGCGTGTCTTCAAATGGCAGATATATAGGCATGCATTACTGATCTTCAAATGGAATTTGTGTACCTTCCATGAAGAAAAAATACAAACAAGAAAAGTTATTACAGGTTCTAACTGAACGAACCACAGACGTCATATAAACTATTCAAGCAGAGACTGTAGTCCCACAGTCCAGCGATGAAGGAGAGCCAAAGAGTTATGTGTGTGTGCTTCAGGTCCTCAGGGTCAGGCTTTATGAATGTTTCAGAAGAGTGTCTCTTCCTCTCTTCTCTTTCTGTTTCAGGGTGACTGAACACAGAGCGCCAAACAACAGCTTCATGCTGCAGCCACACTGTTACGACAGACAGACAGACAGACAGACAGACAGACAGACAGACAGATAGACAGATAGACAGATAGACAGATAGACAGATAGACAGATAGATAGATAGATAGATAGATAGATAGATAGATAGATAGATAGATAGATAGATAGATGAACTTTAAATCTATTTATGTGTCTGTTTGGGATCAGATACACACCAAATCTCTACTCAACCAATTAACTTAATGGAGTGAATTCATTTTTGTGTATTTATATATTGGGGTTTTGGGATCTCATCTTTTGCGCTGGATTTCAAACAGACAGCAAGGCTCAAACGAAGACCTGAAGGACAACACAGGCGGCAAATATCAGCTGTGTGTTCAGGATTGGGTCTGTTTCCAGTGGATTGGAGGAATAGGTGACGCTTGCACTAATGCACACATGCACGATGTCTCTTTTCCTCTCATGGCTGAATTGGTCTCAGACACATTAACATAGCCAGTCTGAGGCTGTTCCAATTCCCGCAAGATCATCCTGACCATCCAGCACACACACACACACACACATGCACAGGGCAGTGTGAACAGACAGATGCAGCCATGTTTTAACCTCATGAGGCCGTTTGCTTTTGGACCACTGCATCTCACACCCAGGGGTCTTTCTATGGACATCTGTGTGAGTGAATGTTTGTAGATGTGAGGGAATAGGTGTGTTTGTTTACCTTGAGTGGGGTCATGGCTCTCCCAAAAGACTTTGAGAAGTTTCTCTAAGCTGATATCTTCAGGAGAGAAGACCACTCGCACTACTTCTGTGTGCCCCGTTAGACCTAAAGAAATGGCAGGAAAAAGAAGTAACACACAAATAGAACTGCGCAATTGTTGAGTGATTTTGCAGTCTATATTAAATTCTGGCTATAGAAAAGGATGTTAAGTATTTTACTGACTCTTTTATTGTCTGTTTTTTTTACAGAACATTTTAAAGGGGACATATCATGAAAATCTTGACTTTTTCCATGTTTAAGTGCTATAATCGGGTCCCTGGTGCATCCACCAACCCATAAAACGTGAAAAGTGACAACTTTGTTTTGGTAAGCCTTTTGGTAAGCCTTTCTCGGCAAGCATGTCAAAATATGTCGTAGTGGGGATGGACGTAGGAAGGGGATCTTATTATAATATTACCGCCCCTTAATCTGCAAGTTTCCACCCACGGCGCCGCCATTTGGTTTTTCGCATAATTCGCAAGCGACAACAGTGTAACCAGTTCTAATGCAATGGCAAAAGTTCGAGCAAAGCATGCAAACTGTTCGTTGGCTGCACAGACAAGCACAGGACACTATTTGATTTGCTCAGACCCAAAAAGGGGCAAATTTGAAAAGCTATAATAAATAATCTGGGGGGAATAAATAAATAAATAAATATTTTGAGCTGAAATTTCAGACACATTCTGGGGACACCATAGATTTATATTACCTCTTGTGAAAAGCGGCATAATATGTCACCTTTAAATGAAATGATTAAATATTCTTCCGTGTGCTCATTTAATTCACATGATAAAAAAAAGTATATTAATAATGACATATCGAAAATCATTAAAAAGCTAAAAAATATCGAAAATTATATTTAGCTACATTACACAACCACTGAACAAATATACACAAAAAAAACAATACCATTCATCTCACAAAGACATTAAGACATTTAAAAAAATATATTTAGCAATGATTCATTAAAGGGATAGTTCACCCAAAAATGAAAATTAGCCCATGATTTACACATCCTCAAGCCATCCTAAATGTATGTGACATTCTTCTTTCAGACGAATACAATCCGAGTTATAAAAACGTTATATATGGCAGTGAATGGCCGTTTATGTTTTGAAGTCCATAAAAGTGCATCCATCCATGATAAAAGTGCTCCACACAGCTCCGGGTAAATAAAGGCCTTCTAAAGCGAAGTGATGTGTTCGTGTAAAAAAAATATCCAAATTTAAAACTTTATCGGCTCAAATAACTAGCTTCCGGCAGACGGCCTACGCAATTCGACTTATGCTAAAAGAGTAACACTTTGTATGAAACGATGTATGATGTAGGAGTAGCGTAAGCTTTGACGCCTCTTGCGGTTCAAACAAACAGGGCTGGGCAACAAACTCAAGCTCCTCCGGCATTTCTCTTTAAAAATTCTCGTTTTAGACTTTTAATTCGTGACTGGTGTTTTGTTTTGCTCTATCCTCTGCGCTTCCGCGTTCGTCATTACGTCATGCTTCGGTTCAGAAGGCCTTTATTAACTCCCCAGGGCCGCATGGAGCACTTTTATCATGGATGGATGCACTTTGATGGACATTTTTTAATATAACTCCGATTGTATTCGTCTAAAAGAAGAATGTCATATACACCTAGGATGGCTTGAGGGTAAGTAAATCATGGGATAATTTAATTTTTGGGTGAACTATCCCTTTAAACTGAGCATAAGTGACAGTAAAGAAATGTATACACATATTTATATTTCAAATAAAGTAGAATCCTGAAAAGAATTATCATGGCTTCCATATTTCAATATTACTATTTTTGATAATATTACTATAAATGCAGTCTTGGTGAACAAAAGAGACTTCTTTCAAAACATTTTAAATATTTATTGACTTGGTACGGTACAGTAAGTGTATTTGATTGTATTTCTTGTGGTTATGATACCGATGAACTTCATAAGGTGAATCCTGGGATGCTGTTAAACTGTACTAAAGCAGATCTCAAAAAGTCTTAAACTTTTAAAATGGTTTTGTAAACAAATTCAAGAACAATTTTAGGCACACAAAAAAGGCACAATGATAATTTTATAATTTCATAAAATAATAAAACCATATTTTCAAGCTTTTAAGCATAAACCTTTAAAAGGTTTTTAAGATCATGAGAACCATTCTGTCAAATGAATCCAAACTTTTGACTGGTACTCAAACACCATGCACTTACTGTGCAAAACTGTTTCTGCATATGTGTTTGCTACTCTTACAAATAACAAAGCCTGTCTACATATTAACACCCAACACAGTTCTGACATTCGCAGGTCTTCTCCAAACTACACACTCAAAGAGAATGTGTGTGTGAAGCCAACCCTCTGCAGAGCTGGAGTCAGAACCTTCTCATTGGGACCAGTTGAGAAACTGCAACATCACAGCTGCATCCCTCCCTCCATTTCATCTCTTCTGAACTGTCTGGCTACAAGTAGGTCATACAGAGGAAGGGGGAAGGGCTGCGGATCTAGGAGAGAGCAGTGCACTCTGGGTAGTTCACTGCAGATGAAGGGAATGTTTTGGCGAAGGCTGCAGCAAAGCATTAATTTTGGTACAGTGAAGCTGCTGCTGGCCTTACGGTTGGGAAACCTCTTTGAAATGGGAGGTGAACAAACAGTTAGACTCACCTGAACACACCTCATGATAGGTGGGGTTAGGTGTGAAGCCCCCAGCGTAGCCCACTTGTGTAGAAAACACACCAGGAATCCTCCAGAAGCGCCTCTCTGCTCCCCAAAAACATCCCATACCTGAACAGAAATGGGACAGACATTAAAAGGCAAATAATTATAGGATTGACTTAAAAAGAGACAAAATTGTCTTTTTGGTTCCACTACAAAGCCTTTCTAACTACAGCTGTTTGACATCAAACAAAAGTCAAATTCAGCCAATAACCCGTTCAAAACCGGAATATTAGCAATAACCCGGTCGCGCACTGCCATGTAAACACCGGCAAATACCCGAATATGCTCATATTCCGGTTTTTAAAAACCGGAATATGATCCCTGGGTTACCCCTTTTCTAATCCGAATATTTGGTCATGTAAACGTGTATCGGCATATCCCCATCAAAAGGAACATTGATTTGTGTTCTGCGCATGTTCTATTCGCAAGGAATCTTGGTCTTTTGAGTAGAGGAACTTCTTGTATGCGCCAGAAACCCGCGTGCAGTATACCGGAAGTAAACAAGAAGTAGAGGTAAACATGGCGAGACGCAGCACAGCACCATACTTTTGGAGCGAGGAGGAAACCAATTTCTTTATTAGTGTGGTGAAAACCATGAATGTTGCTGCTGCTGTTGTTGTTGTCTTTGGATACAGGAAGAAGAATCGGAAATGACGCATATTGCGTCTTAAGGTTGTCCGTACGTCCAGACGCTAACCGTGCGTCGCCGTTTACATCGGGATATTGCCAATTGATAACAAATTCCATGTATACAGGAGTAACTCTCTCTGCTCACGCATGTAAACGGGTTATTCCGATTGTTTCAGAAACCTGAATAGTGACCTTAACCCGACCATAACCCAAATATTGACAGCTTGTAAACGTAGTCAATGTTGATACCTCCAAAAAAAATGATAGATAAAACCTCAAAATGGCATTTTATTCTTTTTTAAAATATTATTTTCATATAATTTTTTAACTAATTTTATTTTTGTGCTTATTATAGTATAACCTTTTAGCATAGTCCCATGCTAACATCAATCTCAACTTGAATCAACTGCAAGCTTTAGATGCTTTGTGTGAAAAGCAATTTTTCATGTGTGTGACCGTTGAGAAAGTTATGGCCCATGTACAGCACTTACACTACAGTTCAAAAGTTAAGATTTTGAAAGAATAAAATAATACTTTTATTTAGCAAGAATGCATTAAATTGATCAGATGTGACAGCAAAGACACTTAAAATATTACAAAACATTTCCATTTCAAATAAATGCTGTTCTTTTAAACTTTCTATTTATCAAATAATCCTGAAAACATGCATCACCTTCTTCCACAAAAATATTAAACAGCAACAGAACCAAATCAGCCTATTACAATGATTTCTGAAGGATCATATGACACTGAAGACTTAGTTAGCTTAGCCATCACTAGAATAAATGACATTTTATTAAATTTAATTTACATTTTATATTAAAATAGAAAACAGTTGTTTTAAATTGTAATAACTTAGGAATTTCCTTTTGAACAGTAGTGTATACGGTTCCTTTTCAGTTAGAATGCTGTCTTAGATGCTGTTTGTAGGCAGCTTACTAGGTCTTGGAACAGAACTACTGTTCTGTATCAATTGATTCTGTTCATTTAAACTGGCTCTTAGCCACATTTTTATTGGCTCGGGAAATCAAGAGGAGAGAGGGGGAGAAATTAGATAGGAACATGACCCAGCCTGGACTCAAACCCAGGTTTCCCATGAGCCACCACTCTGACACAAGTGGTACTTTAAGAAGCAATGTATTAACTGCACCCAAGGATGACTGGAATATGATCTTCTCCAAACTCACCAAACATGATCATCTCCATGCTGTCAGGAAATGGTTCCACTGTGGGGTTCCCAATGGCGGTGTGCTTTACTGCAGAAACATAGGCGAGAGAAACACAGCAATATAAATGTTCCGTTATCAATGGGGTGTACGTGTGCACAAGGTGGCGCTGTTCCAGATGGTGGGACTGTCAGACTGGTTTCTGTGGTGAGGATTATTGCAGATTTGCCTGGTCTGCTCAGGCTAAGCTGAATCAGTGCTGCTGTTTCTGCAGTGGGAGACACTTAGCCGATTACACTGCTGTACCTCCCCCACCCAACACACACACACACACACACACACACACACACACACACACACACACACACACACACACACACACACACACACACACACACACACACACACACACACACACACACACACACACACACCTCTAAACCATCCAGAGAAGGTCACAAACCATGAGTGACGTGAACGCATCGGAAGGAGGCAACACCAGCTCTCTGAAAGCCCTACAGAAGGACCTGCAGTGGATTAGGCCACAGGGAGAAAAAAAAGAGGGTGGACAAACAAAATGTTTCCTGAGTTGGATGGATAAGGCCAACTGTGCCATACTGGAATTAGAGCAGTAAAGAGGAAGAAAAAAGGGGCACAGATGTGGGGAGGATTAGAGCTAAGAAGACTGAAGTGATTTACCACCTAAATCTCCAGGCAGCAAAGGATAGTGGTTTACACACAGCGCACTAATATTAGCATATGGATGAAGAGATGTGTCATGGCCCCACAAACAAACACACACAATAGTGCATTTAGGGCAACATGCACCCCATTCCCCCTTTAATCTTCCTAAAGTTTAGACTTTATATGATAATGACCTGAATACTGAAAATCTGTCCATTACTGATGGCAAAAGCTCGGTATGAAAGTTAGCCTAGCGTAGCATTGCTCTAAATCCCTAACTCTAAGTATTAAACTTTGGCTGCGGACATGAATGATGCCACAACTTTTGTGGCTTGGTAAGGAGAGGTGTGCTATTACTTTTCTAAGACTTCAGATTTTTTCCTGACAGAAATAAATGTGTGAAACAAACCCTTGTAGATGTGCATTGAAGAAGGAACCCAAGCCATTTCTAGAAACCAGAACATAATAGAGACTTAGGGGTGGGTACCTTTGATTTAGGGCAGTAAGCAACCAGCTAGCAATGACATTTTGCAAGGACAATAACAATAACGTTTCACATCTATAGAGGTACAAACCTATATATTCTCAAAATCTACTAGTAGGGGGGTTGTCTGAAAGATTAGTCAACTAATCGGAAGCCCTGAACAATTAAAGGTTTTAGGTTTTCTGACCCCAATCAGGCACTTTATTTATAGGCTTTTGGATTCAAAAACAGCTAGATGTAGTGCAATGGAATGTAACAGACTTTTTCATTTTTAAAAAAAGTTTTTAATTTTGACACAGGCCCTGTTTACGCCTGGTATAATGCATTTTCGTTGATCCGATTACAAGTGGATGACAAGTGTAAACGGGGTCTAAAACGTTTTGAGCTAGTTCCCTTTTGAACAAAAGACTACTCTTAGCCTACTGAACTAATACGTAATCATTGTGGGACGTGTTGTGTAAGATAGCCCACCGAGCAATTCAAACTTTGCTGCCTTGTGCTAAAACACATGGATTGCATTTAAAATCGCAGGTTCCTTTTCCGTTTTATTCGCTTCCTTTCCTGATCTGACATAATCCACATAACATGGGACTAGTATTCGAACTATACGTAATCCATGTAAGAAAATCCCCCCAAAAATACTGTAAGACGTGATGCAATGGCCAAAGACATATTGCTGTCTGTTACACCAGTGCTTTAAATGGACTTAAAAGAAGCAAAACACTCCCTTAGAGGGTTTTCCCGTGCAGATAACAGCTTAAGCACAGCATGCTAATTAAACATTGTGATCTTTTTCCCAAACCAGTTTAACGCAAACTCTACTCCACAGCTGATTTTAAATATGTCACTGGTCATGTCAATCACAGTGCTGATTGCCAACACTATGCTAACAACTAACCCCTAACCATACCCATCCTACACCCTAATCTTACATGGATAGTTCACACAAAAATGAAAATTCTGTCATCATTTACTCACAGTTGATGCCATTGACTTCCATAGCATGGGAAAAAAATACTATGGCAGTCAACCAGCATTCTTCAAAATATCTTCTTTTGTGTTCAACAGAAGAAATAAACTAATACAGGTTTAGAACAATTTGAAGGTGAGTAAATGATGACAGAAATCTTGATTTTGGGTGAACTATCCCTTTTAACCAATAAAATTGGCTGCAGGGAGGCAAACTGGTTTGGGGGGGGGGGGGATCATGCTAATTAAACCATTGCCACTAAAAATATAATAACAAATAAAATAAACCCATATAAAGACCCACAATTAAAGCACAAAGTGTATTTGGTTTCTTTTGCAAAACTTTAACCTGTTTTGCACAATGAGCATATTTAACAACAAAGAAGGCTGTTTAACATACAAGGAAATGAGATGACAAGCAAACAACTGAGAGACAAAGACAGGCAGGCAAAGGCCATGCTACCAAATCAAGATAAAAAGAGCTGCTTGTTTTGTCACCTTGACAAGCAAAGCTTTCTTTTCTTCTTGTCGAAGTGAGGACTTGTGCATTACACACCTCTACAGTCACATTTGCCAAATCTCACTATGTTCGAACAGACCACCTGGCACTGACCTGCCAGCCAAGCGTACAATTATGCCATTTCTAATTTCTGCGAGGGAGGATCTGAAAAGAAAAGAGGAAAAAAACACACATTTTCCAAATAAAAAAAGGTGAGAATTGGAAGATAAATGAATTTCAGAGTGAGTGATGAAGACAGGAATGGGCAGAGGAATAAAAGCGAGGGATGCGCAACAGATTAGAGCAGCGGAAATAAGGAGCTACACGTTTTTTTGTCTTTCATTCCTTCGTTCCTTTTGGCAGCAGATGAACACACAGCCACTCAATCCAGTGAAGAAAAAAAATAACGTAACAAACAAACTGGAATGAAGTGAACCTAGCCAAGAACACGCCAACATAACCAACATCCACAAAAGCTCTGGCACCGCAAACCTAGTGTTTTCTCTCTCTACCATTCTCCAACCTCCTCCCTTCACCTTCCCATAATGCCTTTCTCTTTCTCTCTCCCTGTTCTATCTATCTCTCTCTCACACACTCACACACCAACCACAGCAGTGGGTATTTCTCCCGAGGAGCTCTGGCATGGCTCCAGGAGGTGCCAGTCTGCCTCCTTTAACAGTGCCCCGTGACTGTGCCAAAAGACGCCTTCGCCAACACCACACCACCTTACCAACCGCTCTGCCGAAAAAAGGACAGCGAAAACAAAAGGGAAAAAGAGGAAAAAAGAAAGTGAGGCAAAGGAAGGCGGGTGAGCCTGACAAAAAAAAACAGAAGAGGACTTTTTTATTGGAGCGGCAAGATTGGAAAAAGGACCTTTCTTCTCCAAAACTTTTATTAGAACGGACCTAATTTGGGGTGAATTGTGTTCCGGCAAACAGAAGAAATAGCAATTGCCTTGTCAAATATCAGAAATCGCGCAGAATCGCAACACTATTTCTCAGGGTATTACATGTTTTTCCTGCAGAGTCTGCCCATCCATCATCGTGGCATTGGAATGACCCTTCACAATCCCTCCACACAACAACTTTCTCGTGACCCAAGGACCTAATGTTAATCTGGACTATTACAGCACGTTTCTGTTGTCAACGGTGCCGCCGACGCTTTCGAAAGGAATACTTGTCCTCTGTAACATTGGCATATGGATGAATTGTGATTGGTTGGATGCATATGGTGTTTGATCTAGGACTCCATGTTTACTTTGAGGCACCTCAGTCTTTTCAGTCGCTCAAATGTTACTAACATACAAGACATGACGCAAACATTATTAGATTTTGGTTGCAAAATTCAGACAACTCAAAGTCACAAAAGAATCAATAGAATCTAGGTTTTCAAGCAAAAACCCCACTTAAATCCTATTATAAACGCAACTAGTTAGGTGAAATATTGATTCGCCTGATTCCATGTCCAAGCATATTTTCTTGATGGTAAAACATGTCTCCTGCTTCAAGTATGACTATATAAACAAATATATTGTGGAGAAAAGGTCTATATTGTGTGTGGAGGCCTACCTGCTGAGTTTATGACTCTGAATTTGAAGAAAAAAATCGAAGGAATATCAGTCTAAAAGTGTCTTAACCAACTGGTCTTCACGTTCTTGTTAAACATGGCATATTCAAGACCATTTCTGTTGGAACGCAACAACACCACCTCATGCTGGGTCAACTTCAATCAGCTGAGACACTGGAGTCACCGACAAGTTCAAGTGCCTGTATGTCCCCTGGAGGCGACTGCTGATGCATTCATACCATACTTTCTATTCAAACCTGTATCCAAGCAACCATTTCCGGTTGCTATGGTGAAGAATGGCCCCCCCCCTCATCACTACAGTTTGCAAGATAGTGCACTTAATCTGTGGAACACCTCCAGCATTCTGATGCCCGAGACAAAACATAAGCTAACATAATACAGTTGTAGAAAAGACAATATTTTCAGAACCTAAGCAAACAAACGTCAACTTTCTGAATGACTTGATGATGCTAAATCGAAGTATTGTAATGCCTGTATAAAAGTGTTCACAGATGCACTGATAGCTTTACTCAGCATGAAGACCCCAATAATAGTCTATATTATAGATGTTTTTTTTTTTTAAATGACAGAAAGCTCATGATTTATACTGAAAGGTCAGTGTATTGTAAACTAAGGGTTTGGAATCTCGGCCACTAACTGAAAGGTTACGGTTTCAATCTCAGGAAGGGAAAGCTGAGGATCGGGAGAGCTACTTTGATTTCAGTTTTACTCCTTTCACCACTGTGCCCTTGAGCAAAGCTCTTAAGTACAACCTGTTCACGACGGACCGAGCCTCCTATTTGTGTATTCTATGTTCTTTTGGATAAAAAGCATGTGCTTAATACGTCTATGTACAGTATGTGGGGGTGATGGAAAACCAATAGCAGTCATCCAGACACTCTTTACAGAAATAGTTTTGTTGCCAAGGTCACATGAAATTGCTCTTTAATGGCACTGATGTAGAATGCGCATTATTTCAAAGGATTTACACACAATAAAAGAATAATAAGGCCTATTTGAATCACAAGTCATGCTAGTAAAGTGATTACATACTACAATATATAAATAAAAAAATTCCGAGATTTCATTCGATGACATCAAATGAAATGCATATTTTGACGTCACATTTAAACACACTGCTAATAAAGACATTTAAATAGAGAGGCGTGACTGTGGCGATGACATCAGTACATTTTCTCAGGCTGTGCCAGCATGGCAACAGCAGGTAAGGTTTGATCATCCTCCCCAAAACCCTGTTCCACCCCCCATGGATGCAGAGGCCCGGAAGCTTCCGCCATGCCGTGACAGCGAGCTGCTTCGACAGAAGGGCCGGGAACGCGTGACGGGGGCGGAGCTTTCATGCGCATAATGCACAGATGGGCCCCTGGACACTGCTAGGGCACCAGAACTCCCAGGATGCACCAGGCCAGCAAAACTGTCATGGTTATATCTGAAGGCACAGTCACCAGATTTATTGTTTGTTGGTGATTACATAGTTTCGTTGATTATTTACAGTGAGGAACTCCACAACCATTTTTGGAATAAGGGCAGAGAGTGCCTAGTAGTCAACTGTGCCGAGTTTTACTCTAAGAAGACAAGAACTCAGTCCTGCCAAGTAAGCCAAGAACTGATTAATTTTGTATGACCCCTTTCATCTAACCGTAGCAGAGTATCAGATATGTAAAATAAGTGAATGTGGGCTTCACTAGCACACTAAATGTTTAGTTCTGAACCATTTTAATGCTGCTTCTCATCAAATCATCCCAGCCTAATGAGAGTTTGACGTCACTGAGAATCAATCAAATATCCAAAAGAGACATTTTCAGTTTTTAGTCACTATGCTTTTGCTGACAAAAGAAAAACATTTAGTTTTTTTTGCCTTATTAATCTTCCCTATGGTAACCATAGTTTTGATTTTATTTACTACAGGTCAACTATTGTTTCTGGTTCATTTCTACAATTTACTACTTTTTATGTCCTCAATACAAATTGACATTACTAATATTAAATGTCAATAGATTATAATTCTAATGGGTTAAAAGGAATAAAGACTTTTTTATATTGCACACTTTTGGACTAAACTAAAAAATTTTATCCATTTAAATAATAAATTTTTTTAGTTATTTGCAATATTAATACTAACAGTGAAGTAGTTTTGAGTTACTGTCCATCTTTCTATGTTAATCTAAATACTTGTAAATAAATACATAGATACATAGATTTAGGTGGTACGCAGATTTTACTTGGTTTACTTCCCAACAATATATTTTAAGACAATGGCATTAATGTGATGAAAGTCATGTAAAATGAAGTGAGATCTGTTTAAATGTTATTCTAATAACTTTAAATACCATATGTTACTGTTAATTTGGTGTTTTGTCTACCCATTAATGGTATGGAGCTTTAAAGATATAGACAATTTATGAAATAACAGTTATCTAAAAAATGTAGAATCAAATAAGATAGAAGGACACATTATCTCTCGATTATTAAAAAAAAGTGTAGAAGTGAAGAAGTAGCCTACATTTTAGTTGATTAATTCTATTAGGGTATATAAAAAATATAAAACATTAAAAAATAAAGATGCAAGTTTCAAAACCCAAAAGGAAATGAAAAGACATTAGCTACCCTATTACAATAAAAACGTGGTAACTTGCTATCTCTTCCATCAGAAAAAAATATATTACACAAAATGACAGAACATGGAATAATTCTTCACTACACTGTATGAAGGACATTTTATATTAATTTATTGTGACGTAACTTTAATTGTGGCATTATTCGGAATTTCGGTTACTATGGTTTTTGTTTGAATGCGGAAGTTGTCGTCTATACAACTGGCCTGATGTCCCGGATGTAATGTGCCACAGCCACAGGAGAGATTATTCTATGAGAAACGCTCGAGTGTCACATCCACCTGCTTTTACATCAGTGTCCCTTCACATGTGACATGACCCGCAGCGTGGCAGCCGAATTTCACGAAAGACAGAATTTACCTGCCACGACCATTTTCTCCTCCCTGCCCTTCAGTGAGCGCTCTTTGGCGGTTAAAACGCTCTTGTTTGCCATATTGAGCTGAGCGACTGTCACGCGGAAATCGAGCTGCAGGACGATGACGATGAGGATGACGACCGTGTGCGCTCCTGCTTGCAGAAATAAACATGTCCGCGCGGCCGCCATGGAGCTGAAGGAGGAGTGAGGGGACAGCCTCGCCCACCTCATGAATATTCATCAAATGATGGGTGACTTCGCTAGATGAATATTAACTAGCCAGAGGTTAATGTGACTTTGCCACAAAAGCCTCCCGTGCGGTATGTGCGGGTAAGAAATTGAATTAAAATAAATATCCACATTAAGATAGCAGTTCGGCATGCAAATGAGCGTCACACGTCTGACTGCCAGCATAGCAAAACTGAGCATCTGTGTAGGCTACTGTCGTAGTCGTAGAGGAGCGCGGCTGCATACATTAAAATTAGCATCTGGAATCCATTCATCATGATTATTGCTATTTCTGTGCATGTAAATACTTGCATTATCCCATCCATTGCAGTGGTTGCTTTATTCAGGTACAAGTGTCAAAATAAAGGCACTGCCTAGCCTGTCAAAGAAAGGATGCTATGCCTTTCTTAAACATTCAATTCCTCGTTTAATTCAAGACAGTGCCATAAAAAAGCAGTATAACACGAAATTGTCAATTTAGGTCATCGTCTAACCTTTTAATTCACTGAATGTATGCTGTGCTTAAACCTTCAATCCAAATATATTCCCTGCTTTAAAATATTGAACAAGGTTAACAGACCACCAGTGATCCACAGAATCCCATAAGCTCAAGATTTGTAGCTGTAATGTCTGCAAGTGTAGCCTTTCTTTTCTGTGAGTTTGAATACTCCAGACAGGGTTGTTTCAACCATATTTTAACTGATAGATACATTAGATAGGCCTACATACATGCATAGTGTAAACATTACATCAAGAACATTTGTAAAAGATGTGGAATTATTCAGGTTTTTGAAAGTAAATAAACATTAGGCTTCATCATATATGCTCAAACTGGAGGGATGAATCAAAGACAAACGTGGGCATTTTTTGCTTATGCTCACTTAAAGCCTCTTATCTAAGCAAAACAGTATTGGTGTCACCTGTAGAGGTGTTAAGGTTAGAAAGAGAGGTTTTGAAATCGCCTTGCAAATTAGATATAATTACTAAATGCGGGCAGGCAAGAGCAGCAGTGCTAAAATAAAACCGGAGGAGGAAATCACTGGTTTATGGAAGCCGTGAAACAGTTAAATAGCTAGAGTCATGAAATGAAAACGATTCCTGGTCAGATTTCCATACAGATTGAGTGAAGTCTTATCACTCTCTTTTGTTATGTAATGTAGATCTTTTTTTTTATGTTTATGTTTTTCAAATATTAATATATTCAATAAATTGTGTTTCCATTATCTGTAGAGGAGTTTTGGTGCAACATATTGTCAAAATAGATTGTAATAAACTTTACAACTTTATTTTTCAAGAAATCTCTCTCTCTCTCTCTGTGGTTTTGATAGTTGTGATTCTTATCCTGAGGTCTGTAAATTCTGAGTGGCGGAATGCTGAACTGGTGTTTCTGAATGGCAACAAAACTGTTGTTAGGTAGATGGCTCGTGGATTGAGCAAAAAAGAAAAAAGAGGTCTCTCAGAAGGAGTGAGGGGGTAAATTTGCAGTTATTTGCCTTCTCCTTCTTACCGTTAGAGGGCCATTTACCACTGTTCGTTTGCATTTATGCTCTTTGCAGATGCTTCTCATACCACTTGGAGGTTCAGATCCAAGGAGTCTGATATGATGCAGGAGGGCTGAATATATGGATTTTGTTAATGATGAATTACAGGTTAAGTAATAGAAAAGTTCAAATATACATTCAAAGAGAGAAAAGGTGAGCGCAAGTGATACATGGATTTACAGGATTAGGCCATTTCTAAAGGGGTTGGCCTATAGTGTTTTTGGCAGCAGGTTTGATGGGTTAGTGTTAAACATTGAGTTGTTTTGTGAAGGCATTTACGTCACAGTTTGAGAGTTTTGTTAAGCTTTGACTGCTTACGGCATACACACACATCTATTTCTGATTAACATGAAAAAGAAAAGAGGCAGTTTACTGTTGGGTGTTTTAGCATAATTGTGGCTTTGCTGGTCTCACTCGACTGAGATGCTTAATTAAAATAATAAATCACGCTTCTGCGTCACCACTAAAGAAATCCTTTTTTTCTTTGCCCCCTCACTCACTTAAAACGTATCGTCAGTGTGTCCGTGAAGGTCACACTGCAACCACTGTGTCCAATCCAGGGCCGCCCGCATCCACCCAATCCCACTTCAGGATTAGCTGGTGAACTCGTTAACTGGTTATCAGATATCATCCTCCCCTCCCCCACCACCCTTGCTGTTTTTACCCCGGAGCAGCCTTGAGTAAGACACTCTTACCCCACATGGGATGGTCAGATTACAGCTTCCCCATAATCCTGCATGCACAGACTCTGCATCTCTTTCTCTCTCTGTTTCTAGATACGCTTGCATCGCTCAAAAGTGTCCCATGTAGTAGACAGAGGGTTCTGTCAGGACCACTATTGTCAAGGATGATTGACAGTTAGCATACAGTTTGGATTGGGCCCCCTCGAAAACGTGATGTTTCATCTCAAGGGGATATCCTCAACAATAAACCCAATTGGCGGTATGGTTCTGCTCTGGGCAATAACTCCATGCCCATCCATGCAGCCTATGGACAGGAGCAGGGAGAGCAGCGTAATTTACATAATTTAATGTACAACAAAATTCGAAAAATGAGTCTGATTAGAAGAGGAATATCGAATATCAGAGGCCAAGTCCTGATTGGACGAGAGGAGGAGCAGGGGATGGTGGAGGGTAATTAGCTCCTGAGCAACGTGATAAATCTGCTTTAATACTGAATGGAACTTACTGAATGCTGTGATAGGCGTCGCATTCCTATACGTGGATCAGCTGAGAGTCAGCTGATGCCAGCTTGACTGACGTGACCTGCCACTAACGCTAAGCTTGATTTTTCGACCATATTAAGAGATGTTTCAATTTGCGTGGTGTGAATATTCAGAACAGCATTGGAAACCACGCAAGTGTGCACTAATTTATCACGGCTCTGGAAGTGGACAGGGAAACTTACCTTAGTCATTGTGCTTCAGTTCTACACAACATTTAGCTCAAATAGACGTGATAAAAAATGGCCCAGCATTCAGTTTAATTTTAACGCAGGTGTTTGTGGGTATGAAGTCCATGAGATGCAGCCATAACAAAGCCATAATCAAGAGCAGTTTAAAAAACATACAAAATAACCAGATCATTTTACTTTTATTTTAATATTGTCATCATTAAATTTAGGGGTCTGGAATATCACTAATGATATTAAATCTAGAATATATTTTTAATGCATTAAAGACCTTTAAAAACATTTTTGTTTTTTTTTACAAGAAATGTTCTTTTAAACTTTCTATTTATCAAAGAATCCTGAAAAAAATAACCATGGTTTCCACAAAAAGTTTCAAGCAATACAACTGTTATAATATTATTAAATGTTTCTTGAGCACCAAATCAGCCTATTAGATTGATTCCTAAAGGATCATGCAACACTTAAGACTGGAGTAATGGCTGCTGAAAACTCAGCTTTGACATCACAGGAATAAATTACATTTATATGAATATATTAAAATTATATTGTATATTAATAAATTACAATATTCCTGTTTTTACTGTGTTTTTGATCAAATAAATGCAGCCATGGTGAGCATAAGAAACTTCTTTTAAAATATTTTAAAAATCTTACCGACCCAACCACTATATTATAATTAATACTAATATTATAATATAAATTTTCTTCACACAAATATATCATATACAATTATTATATAAATATATAATAATCACACTCGAAAGCCCTAATCAAGTGTCTGTCTTGATAAAGTGAAGTTCCACAAATGTCCGCAGCTCAGTGTGTGTATGGTGAACACTGCAGGGACCTTCGAACACAGCTTCTGTTTCCCCTCGTTTATTCATTTGATTTTTTCATGCCCATTCTTTCCCATATTACGCACTACCAAGAAGGTAAATATTACACATACAGATTCTAACTCCCAAGTAACAACAATTCTAGTGGGCATTATTATATTGTAGGTTAAATCCACGCACACAGCTCCCCCTCTCTTTCTCTTGTCTTGTCTTCCTGGCCACCTGTCTTTCCTCCCACCCTTCTCTCATCCCGTTGGAGCTCCTCTCTCACCTGAAGCCTTGTTTGGCATCCTGTGCTGGGATTATGTTTAATCTGGACACGTGCCACTGGCCTCCCTCCCCCTCCCCCTCCCCCTTCCAGTCATTCTTTTCCACCCCGCTCTTGTGCAGAAATCTGTGGCTGTAGGCTTTTAGTGTCTCTTTAGGCATTTTACTTCAAGCTAAATTCACTAGGAAAAAAGGGGAAGCACTATGGGGGTGCTATGAAACGCAATAATATTTATAAAAATATAGCCAAATTCACACAGGCATGTTTTTTTATGATCTACTCTCCCATTGAATACATGTATGTGTATTGTACAAAACTAATCTTATCACAAAGGCTGCATTTATTTGATCAAAAATACAGTAAAAACAATTATATTTGTGAAATATTATAACTATAACTATTGTCTTCTATTCTAATATATTTTCAAATGTAATTTATTCCTGTGATCGCAAAGCTGAATTTTCAACAGCCTTTACTGTCACATGATCCTTCAGAAATCATTCTGATATGCTGATTTGGTGAAATCAAATGTTATCAATGTTGAAAAATGTTGTGTTGCTTAATATTTTTGTGGAAACCGTGATGATTTTTTTTGACATTTTATAATACATTCTATTATATAATATATTATAAAATGTGTGTATTTTATATTCATACATGTTTTGAATATAATACAAATATTAAACACAAACTGTATAATGTAAATGCAGAAAATACCAACAACAACAAATCCACCCTTCTTCAATCCCAGAATCCACATGCAACTTCCTGAATGAATGCATTGAGCTCAGAAAGAGATTATAAACCAAGCCAAAACAATAGATGCAGTATTTTCGACTCATCTGTGCATAATGTGATTGTGTCATGGGAGATTTACCCATCAGCTCATGAAAGGCCGATTCCAGTGCAAAGTCTGTGATGTGATGGGATAGGATAAACATCATTTATTTTGATCATTTATAA